CCCCACTGCCCAGCCCGGGAGGGGGACAGCCCAGGGTCGGTGCTGCCTCAGGGGGGACCAAGGTGGACCCAGCGGCCACCGCCTGCCCTCCCACAGGGTCCCCGCAGAGGCCTGGCCAACTCGTCCCCATGGTTGTGGTGTGATGGGGGTGCAAACCCGGCCCTTTTTGGGGTATCTCGTCCCCCCTCCCTCTGCGCCACCTTCAAGCCCAGGTTCGTATCCCCCACCTGGCCGACCAAGGTGGGGCTGGGGACAGGACTTACATGCGGGGCTCTGTTTGCCTACGCGCTTTGCATTCGGGCACTGAATAAATATTTTCATTGCCGGGGGACTGTGCCGGTTGCGGCTGGGCCAAGGCAAGAGGCACCGTCATCCCCTTGGATGGGGGCACGTGTGATTTCGGGAGGGTGGCTGGGCCCTGCAGCGGGGCAGCGGGCGCCCGCCTGCGGGGATGAGGGGTCGGGGGGCCCGTCCCGCGCCCACCGCCTCGGTGGGTTTCTGAGCAAGCTGCAAGAAAGGGACCTTTCACCTCTCATTAGTGATGCCATCAGTGGCTTGGCAGAGCGGAGCTGAGGTCATGTTACATATGGCACACAGTCTGTTCAGCGCCGGCAACGCCAGCTTTGAAATTTTAGAGAGGGGAAAGGTCACCTTGCGTAAGCCGAGGTCTGGGGGTCCCCCGCTCTCTCCGCACCCTGGGTGGGTCTCCATATGCCGCCATCGTCGCCAGCCTTGCTCTGCCTGGCCCTGGGAGATGCTCAGCCGTCTGCTCTTCTGCCTCCTGAATTCGCAGGGAATCACTTAAACGAAGGGAATACTTTCACGCTGCCTTTCCTTTTCCTTTACAGAAAGTCTCTCCCAGCACTATTTTTTTTCCCTCTCCTTTCTCTTCCCAGCATAAACCTGTCTCTAATGACTGATTATTTTTTCAAACAACGTATAACGCAGCTTTCCAGGAGAAAATGTGTTGTCTCTCTTTATCAGCAGATCTGCCCAGACGGATAAGTTTACCCTTCTCCGACCTGAGTGTATAATTTCATAGACCTTCAAAAGAGTCATGCTTCCATGGTGATTAAAACTTCTCGCTCCTGAATCTTGCTGGGGTATTTCAGGTTTCATGCCATCGGATCTTAGAAAAGCACATCTGTACAGTCGTATTTCTTTCATCTGAAGAGCTGGAAAAAAGCAAACCCGATATATTTTGTGTTTGAAAATATACAACACGTTATGTTAAATTAATTCCTGGTGTAATTCACTACGTTGAATTTTGGTAGGATCCTGTCGGGGCTTTACCCGGAATGATTCGGAGGTGCCGGCTGCGGGGAAGAAGTTACCGTTTTCCCACGTGTGACGGCTGACAGTGTGAGTTCGTGCCCCTTCTCAGCCCCGCTGCGGAATATTATTTTGCAACCTTGATTTTTTAAATACATGGGGCCTGATTCTTAAGCTCTTAAAGTAACTTGGATGGGAGTTTCTGGCATGCAGCTGTTGCAGAGAGATCTTCAAAAGGACATTTGCTTCTACGCAGGTCATCACCAAAAAGGCTCTAAATGAAATAGATGCTTATCTTGGGAATCCCTGAGAAGCTGGAGCTGAACCAGCATGCGGTGGGGATTCAGGATACACTGTTCTGCCTGCTCCAGTGAGGCATCCAAACAGCCGCATTAAAGGGAGCTCGTTCCGATTTCCTACTAATAGGGCTACTTGCATGGATTTTAATTTTTAAATAGGAATAGTCTTCCGCTGCCTGTCAAAGAGAGGGGGTGGGAGCGGAGGTATGAGATGGCTTCTGTTCAGAAATGGAGATGCTGAGATCTGTCTACGTTTTTTGTCACAAACGATATTTTCATAGCACGGGGCTAAACTGTGCTCTTAGTCATTGAGTGCAAATCTGTCGATTTAAATGGAGTTCATTGCAAGTGGGAAGGGGATTTAGCCATAATTTTCCGCTGCTGTCTAATCACTGTAGTCTGAAGAAAGCAACATATGTATAATGGTAGCTGAGATGCAGGAGGGGCAGAAGCTTTCTACCAATGAGAACCACATTAAATAATTAATTCCCAATTGCCTTTCTACATTAGTGCTTTCAGCTAAAAAAGCCGGGCGGCTTTGTAAGGCCCCAGGCAATGAAACATTTGGTGCATTGTCAGTCCAAAAGTGGAGGTAATAGATATCCAGGGCGGGCTGGAAAAGCGCTGCTCTCCATCCTACCATTTGCATATTCCAGCTGTGCAGCCTCATTCCTCAACCCCTCCTTTGCCTTACTTAAGTTTGACAGGACAGCATCCCTCCTGAGGTGGCTGCTGAGGAAGCCGAAAGTGTATTTATTTTACTGGAACCAGAGGAACTTAATGTTTGAGTCTAAAAATGGAGTATACAAAAGTTGGTCTCTCTTTTATCAGCAGACCAAATCTGACGGGTTAATAAGGAAAGGAATGAATTTCCCCCTCCTTTCCCATTTGCCCCCCTTACCCCATCTGCAGGTCCCCCAAGCTCAGCCTGTCATCTCAGGTCAGGTTGGGATCTTTCGGGCTCGTACATCATTCGCAATAAAGATCTTGCCATGAGAAATGAGTTAACAAGCCTTTTGATGTGCAAGGCATCAGAGACTGCTCCGCTCACCTTCTGAGATAAATATACGTGTGCGTGTGTGTATAAAGCTGAAGAAGAAAAGGAAGCGTTGGAATAAATTGCCTGGGGAGGTGGGAGATTCTCTGTTAAAAACAGGTCTAGACAAACATCTGTCAGAAAACACCGACGTGTATTTGATGCTGTCTTGGAGCTGGGGAAAAGACTGAATGGTGTTGTTGAGTCCTTTCCAGCCCAGAGAGACCATAGGTATATACACGTATGTATACATGCGTGTGTGTGTAGGTGTATATATTTGTGTGTGTGTGTATGTATATATTTCCAAACTTTCAGTGAAAATCTCTTGGCCTCCGTGATATTTTGTGGCAGTGAATCATGTAGGCTAATTACACAGAGGTTTGCTGTCTCTCGGTTTCATTAAATTTGAGTTTCAGTTCCGTTTAATTTAATGTCCTTTGTGCCTCGAGCGGATCAGATCACAGTGTCTAATCTACCCAGCTGCATTTTTCTCCCCTTTTCTTCAGCTCTTTTTATACCAAGTGAAGTCCCTTCAATTCTGGGAGCTTTTTGATGATTCCACTTATTCCCAAAGCACATCTGTGAGCCTGCTTGGGGTTACACTTCTTGAGGTAAGGTCACGATAGTAGAAACTTATCTTTATTACTAGATGCAATGGATAGGTGCCTAGAGAAGCTGTTTGGCTGAGCAAGAGGATGGCATGAAAGATTTGGGGTTTCTTTATTATTATTTTTGGACATGATCATTTTCCAAAGCATCCCTGTGCTTTAAAGATAACGTGGTCACGGCCACCGCTGGCACCCCTAGAACTTCTTTCCAAGCATGCAAACCTCAGCAGGACCGCTGGAGCTGCAGGCTGCGTTTGAGGAGCGCGTTGACAGCTTACTTGTGTTTATGCATGGAGGACAGGCTGTTACCAAGGGCCAGGACTTGCAATTCTTTACACAGGAGTTAATATTAAATACTTCTGTTAAAATTCATTTGAAAGAGAGTTTTATCACTGTGACACATGGAGGCTCCCCTGAAGATGGGGTTCTGTGCAACTCAGCATTGGAGATAGAGGAGAGGCTGTTCGGTGACAGAAAGCTTATACTCCAGGGAGGTGAAAAAGGGTTTTGCAGGGCTGGTGTGGAGGAAACTGTAGAGTAATTCCTCTGTCAGTACCCTAGAGCACGCCTACACCAGGTGATGCTTATATTCCCTGCAACCCCCCAGAAGCTGTGTCCCTGGACCGCGAAGCACCACTGCACCTCCCTGGCGAGCGCCGGGTGCAAGCCCGGGATGCTGCAGTGAGCTGCAGGAGTCAACGCCAAACTGCGCAGCAGAAATGGAACCTTGAATTTCTGAAGCCAAATGCTAGAATGAGCCAGGCTGCAAAACTCTTTGTGATCTAGGCTTTTAGCCCCCCGCTACTAGCCTTCATGAGGCTTAAGAGATGACTTCTCTTGCTCGTCCATCTTATCCTTCCAGAAGATCTTTGTCCCTCATAGCAAAAGCATGAGGACAAAGTCTAGCAACTGCATTTGTAGCCTGATGTACGAGCTGCGATCACCAGCTGCTACGGAGTATATTAGTACACTAGGACGTACTCTGCGATGACCGTGGAGGGGACACACCGCTACTTCTGCCGAGCCCACAGCAAGGCAGCAGCCTCCAGCCTGGGGACAGGCAGCAAGCCCCGACACTGCCCCAGCCCGAGCAGCCCGAGCTCCTGGCTGTCCTCAGGCAGGGTTTGCAGAGTAGCTGTGAGATAAGTTCACCTTTCGGCCGTACCCTCCTGGCTGAGGAGGTGAGCTGAGCTCTCCTGCATGTTCATTGAAGGGCTGCGAGCAACAGGGAGAAGGTGGCTTGTGAGCTCCTCGGGGAGCAGGCTGCACAAAACCAGCGGGGCTCTTCCAGGGTATGCTGCACCTCAGCTCACAGTGATACAGGTTTTGATGCCAGGATAAGGAACTCTTTGCAAGCCAACCTCTGGCAGAGCTCAGTAAAGGCAGAGGCGAGAGAGGGGAATGCGACTGTCCCCTATAAACACGTCCAAAAGGAAAGATCTGTTTAAGGGGAAGGACAAAATGGGCGCAAGACAGACGAGCGCAGGCTGGCTGTGAGCACGCACGAGCTGGACGTTGGAGCAAGGTCTCCAGCCACGGGTACGTGATGCTCTGCAGAAATCGCACTGGTTTTACAAAGGAGCTCAGCGCGTGTAGGAAGGGGCTGAGGTGGGGTGTTCCCCTGCTCTAACCCTTACTATTTAAGCACCACTTTTCACAAGGTCTGCCTGCACAGGGTCCGGCAGGCACGACACCGAAGGCAGAACTTCCCGGCCAGCGAGTCCTTATTTGCCCTTGCAGAGCGGCACATTTGAATGCACCGGAGGCATCAGCCATGTCAGACAGTTTTTCAGGGAGAAGGCGGAGGAGGAAGGGGGGTGTCTTCCCCCCATTTTGTTTTCTACATTCCTTTTGCTGGTGAACCGTTACCGTTGTGGCTGGGGCGGTTTGACTGATGCTTCTTGGGTTTGTACTGCAGCCAGCGCTTCTGATTCTGTCTGGCCACATATTGTATTTGGCTGGTTGGCTCTCTCTAAAAATTCCTCTTTTTTTCATGTTTGTTTTTTTTTTTTTTTCTCTGTGGCATTTTAATATCTCACAACAGGCACCTTTACAAAGAGATTAAAGGTCTAAAAACGAACAGTTGTTTCATAGGCAAGCTTTAACACAGGTAACAAGTAAGAACCCATTGTAAAAGAGAATTCGGGGAGAATTTCTTAAGTGCGGGTAACACTTTTGAAACCTTTCTTCCACAGCACTGAGGAATTACAAACAATTCCTGAGCTAACATTCATGCAAACC